GTACAATTTGGCGAGAACAGACTGAGTGAAGGGGAGGAATGGAGAACTGATCTGCAAATGTGAGTGGGAGCTAGGTTATGGAGAGTTTTAAATGTCTTCGTCTCCTTGACTACCTGGGAATCACTCCTTTACCACTCAGACAGAGCTGCCCTGGCCTGTCAGTAAGTGATGAGCAGACAGCCCTGGTCTCCAGAATGACTCATCCCTGGCTCCGGGCAGGGACAGACACCTGCTTTTATCTTAGCGACTTATAAAGTTGAAGGTACATCAAGGCCCCTCCCTCCTCTTCTGCCAAAGGAGAAACTGCTAGGATCAGCTCTGATTCAGAGGATGCTGTGGGGACTGGAAGAGGCCCTGAGTTAGCACTGGAGAGCTTGGGTTTTAATCCCGGCTTGACTCTGGGCAAGTCCCTGGGTAGCTGGCTGGTCCAGTGGATAGAGCACTTGACACCGACTGGACGTGTATCCTTGCGCAAGTCACTGAAATTCTACTTGCCTCAGTTTCTCATCTGTAAAATAGGGATAATAACAGTACTGCCTCCCAGAGTTGTTGTGAGGATTCAGTGAGACAACATGCATAAAGGGCTTCGTGCAGTGCCTGGAACGTAGTACGCGCTTAATAAATATTTGTGATGATGATGACGATGATGATGGTGATGATGACGATGCCCCTTTGCCCCTCTGGGCTTCAGTGTCTCCATCTGTGAAATGAGACAGTTGGGCTGCCAGCAATGACCTCCAAAATTGTTCCCAGCTCTGAGCCCAGCCGCACAGATGCTGCTCTGCTTGTCTGAGGGACTAGCTAAGCCAGCCCTCCACACACAGCATCACCGTCCCAGATTCTTCACATCTGAAAAGAGGAATGGTTTTCCTTTTGCTTGACCTTTGGGAAGACGATTCATTACTCTTGCAAATGCCTTATTCTTTTCCTGATCCTTCCTGTGTTGTTCCCAGTTCACTGGCTCCGTGTTTATTTAAAGCTGGTGGGGGAGGGGAAATGTGAATATTTTCTGCCACAGAAATGTTAAAGGTGCTGAGGAGCGGCAACATGTCTGCAGAGTGCCACCTGCATGTTCATTTTCTGGACAACTGGAACGAGAAAAGTCCACTCTCATGATCCTCCAGCATTTAATCTGTGTTCCTGGGGGAGAGTATGAAGGTGCAGTTTTTGTTCAAGAGTTTGTGTTGGACCATTAAAGTCTGTAAAAGCTCTGTGCTTATTGTTTAGGTGGCAGAAGATGAAGGGTCAAGAGACTGAGATGAGAAGTGTTCAGACCTGGACGGCTCTAAGTCCAGAAAGTGCCCTGACCTTGGACTCCTGAGGCCTGAGAACCAGCCACAGCTCTCCTCCTTACTCTCTGTGTGACCTTGGACAAGTCACTGAAAAGTGTCCCTTTGGCCAAAGGACTCTCTGAACTTCATTCCCTATCACTAGCTGCTGACTGGACATTTCTCATAGGATGCCCCATAGGCACCCCCAATATATTGTCTTTCCTTGAAAGCCCATCCCCTCTTCCCAACTTCCCTGTCTGCATTGGGGGCCCCACCCACTCTCCTGTCCCCTGGATTCATGACTGCTGGGCCAGTCTTAACTCTGCCCTGTCCCTTACTCCACTTGAGCAGCCATTTTCTGAGTCAGCTGTCCAGTTTTCATGTCACCCTCCTCTTCCCCTTCTCTGCCCTCACATGGTTCTCACCCTCTCTGGTCTCCTGCGGCCTGGGGCCCGGACCATCTCAGTGGCCTTCCAAGCAGTGTCTCTGCCTCTATCCTTTCTTTTCCCCAAACCATCCTCTACTCAGATGCCCAACTAATATTCATAAACCGAGGTCTGACCACATCACTCCCCTGCTCCACATCCTCCACTGGCTCTCTATTGCCTCTAAGATAAAACACAAACTCCTCTGGATCTGAAAACTCTTCAATCTGGCTCTAGTCTCCCTTCCCAGGCTCACCAGGCCTTCCGTTCACTAGCCTCTGGTCCAGCCAAACCGGCTTGCTGAGTATGCCTCGAGTCTCTGCTTCCTCTTCACTTTGTCTACTTCCTAAAACCCCTGGTTGACCCCCAGGGTCATCCCAAGAGCCCCCTCCCAGGTAGGATTTTCCTTATCCCTTCAGGAGCTGGTGCCCCTCCTCCCAACCCCCACCAAGCTACTCTGTACCAATTTATGCATTTTGTATTTACCTCCCCAGAGAACAGAAGCTTCTCGAGGTTCGGGATTGCTGGTTTTCTGATGCTGAATCCCCAGTGCCTGGTGTGCAGCAGTCACTCAGCAAATACTTGTGGAACAGATATCGAATTTTACACACACACGTATTCATAAGAACATATATTACAAAGAGATAGAAACAGAGTCAGACAGACAGAAAGACACACACACACATACACATTCAATTAAACCAGAAACATTTATTAAGCACTCACTGTGTACAACACCCGGAGGTTGGCAGTGAGGATGATTAGAAAAAATAATGAAACCCCAAATGTGCCTGCCCTCAAGGAGTATCCATTCTACCGAGAAGGGGGAAACAGCACTTCCACAGCTAAGGACGGTACAACATAAGGCAGAGTGAGATGTACCCAACGGAGATTCAGACTAAAGGCTCCAGTGAAATCTGAGGGAGGAGAGACCTCTTTGGGGAGGGAGAGGAGGGGGGAAATCAGGGAGTACTCCCAGCAGAAGGCACCTCAGTTCAGTCTGGAAGGAAGAGAAGGAGTTCTATGCAGGAGTGTTCTGGTGATGGGGCATCTCCCAGGGCATCACCAGGGACTTCGGAGGGAGGTGAGGCTCTAAGGCAGCAGGAGGGGGGCTGGAGGGTGGGGGGAATGCTACCTGGAGTCTGGAAGAACCCAGGTATTAAAGATCCTGCCTCAGACACTTGCTGCCAGTGTGACCAGGGTGAGCCATTTCACCCCTCTCAGTTTCCCCACCTGTGGGGAACTCCTACTTTCCAGGGTTGTTTGGAGGACAAATTGAAATAATGTTTCTAAATTGTTTTGCAAACCTTCAAGCCTGATACAAATACTGCAAGCATTATTAAGTATTAGTATTACTATTAAGATGGGAAAAGATCCGTGAACCCCAACTGGAAAATAAGGTGGACATTGGCCCAGAGACAAGAGACCTGTCCTGACTTTGCCACTGACAAGCTGGGTAACCTTCGGGCCTCAGTTTCCCCAGCTGAAAAAAGGAGAGGAGTTCCCAGTGAAGCCCCAACATTCTGTGATCTCATCTGATGCCCCCATAGCCCTCTGAGGTCTGTCAGAGCAGGCAGAAGCACGCTCAGACTCGGCCCTTTTTAACCATTTACAAGGATATCTTCTGAGGGCAATTACTGCCTTCTGAAAGCCTTCCCTTCTTGTGGGTGGGAAGGGATGCACCAAGTGCTAGTAATGGGGAATGAGGGAAGGGAGAGAAGAAGCATCTCCACAGCACCTGCTGTGTGCCAGGCACTGGGCTGAGTGCCTTTTACAAATATCATCTCATTCGGTCTGATTTGATTGTAAAGGAGAGCTAAGTAGGAGCCCACTCATACTGAAGGACAAGGAATAAATTATGGTGGACAGGTGGACGCAGTAAATGCAAAGCACAAGAGTCCAGGCCCCAGCCCTCCTTGCCTGGCCCTACCAAGTGCCCCAGAAGTCCCGAGACTGGTGGGTCTCCTGGTTTCTCTCCCAGGGGGCTCTGATGAGCTCCCAGAGCCCCGCAGCACCCACAACCCAACCACTCCCTTTCACCACACACACACACACACATACACACACACACACACACCCCACACACACACCCCACACACACACCACACACACATACCACATACACACATACATACACACCACACACACACACACACACACACACACACCCTTCCTTATTAGTCATGAGGCCAAGCAAAATGTTTTTTCTTTGTCTCGTCTCCAGGAAAGAGAGAGTGTAGATGAATGTAGCATCACCAGTGAGATCCGAGGTCCTCTGGTCAGGTGCCCTTTCCACCCTCTGATGGCACCGTCTGCCAGAAAGCTGCTGAGGCTATACCTATCATAGGTGCATTCAGAAGGTGCTTAATAAATGTTTGTTGCATTGAACTGAATTGACTTGAATTACATTTTGACCTTTAGCCCTCTGATTGCTCTGTATATCGAAGGCCTAGTAGGCTTCTCATTATTGATAAATTTCTTTTCAGTTTTAAAAAATATGTTTTGTTATTTGCAAAACAAAATGCTCACTAATGTCAGTATAGACTCTTTGGAAGATGCCTAGAAATGTATCTATAGTATTTATCTACCCAACTTATTTATCTATCTTGTCTCTCTGCCTGTCTCTCATATCCTATCTATTTTATAGGTTCTATAGCTGCCCATGGCCATGTCCACACTGCAGCCCCCAGAGTCTATCTGTAGGGACTTGGTGGTGGTTACTGGAGTGTCTTGAGTTTTCTCATTTCATCCATGGGTTTTTAATCATCTCCATGGACTTTCTTTTTAACTCAGTCTGCTTCCAACCATCTTTAGACACAGGGACCATTCCCCATTCCCCAGCCCCGGCCTTGACTTTGACCCCTGATGTCAGTGGTGAAGTGCAAACCTCTCAGCCCCCCAATGTCCTTCCAGACCTGGCCCTGTTCCACCCCCAGCTCAAACCTTTATAAACAAATTTGATGGTCATGTCAGGTAGAGTGACAACCTCGAGCATAGGCCCCTGGGAAACATGGCTTCTTTATCATCAAGTAGAAAGATTCCCCTTCAATGAATTCATTTGCCCCTACATTTTTTTTTTGTCACGGGGGAGTTAGATGCTCCCTTCTGAATTTTTAATCCAAAGTATTCAATAAAATGTGGGTATGTTCAGACATACTCCCAAATCCTCAGGCTTTTGGAGTTTCCACTTGTAAAATAGCCTGTGTTCCCCTCCTGTAGTTAAGTGAGTTCATGTCTGGGGCAGGAAGAGAAGACCCAAAAAGCACTGTTTGTAATAGTTAATAATACTACTAATAACAATAGCTGGCATTTACATGTCACTTTAAGGTTGCAAAGCACTGTACTTAGGTTATCTCATTTGATTCTCATACTGGTCTGACTCTAAAAGGGTCCAGTCTCATAAATACAAGAAATGGATGGACAGTGATCAATGCGCCTTCACAAGATGGAAGTCTTGGCCTTGAGAATACTACATCAGGGGGCCAGTCTGGACCATCTGAGGTTACCTAGAGGACACAGCTGGATGAAATGTGAAAAATGACACGAAGTAACAAGAGTTCAATTCCACCAGGCAGTCACTGTGCTGCCCTAAAAACCAAAACAAAAGGTATCTGCCCTTGAGGAGCTTACATTCTAGAGGGAGATAAGGCAGGTGCTCACTTCGGTAAGTAAGTACACACAGAGTCCTCCAAAGCAATCTCCAGGAGAGAGGTCTGACCCCTGTGAGAAAGGAGGAAGACCTCAGCCTCCAGAGCTGGCCTGGGAACAAGCCTGGAATTCAGGGCAGTGGGCTTTAATAAGGGCCTGTTGACGTAGCTTGATTTGGAGACCCTGGGCTTCCACTGACAGTTCTGACAGTACACACAGCGTCGGCCGTGGCTCTGTTGGAGGAACAGCTGTAAAAACCCGCCTTCAGAATAAAATCCCATCTTTGTGTGCATTTTCCATGGGCTTCCGATGCTCCTGCTTCCTGTGGTATCTTGCCTTCTGGTAGAAAACAATGATGGTGATGGTGATGATGTTGAGGAAGAGAATGAGGAGCGGGAGCCAGAAGGAGTATTGGTACGTGTGAGTCGTGCCGCCATACGTATAGCCTTCCATTGGGTAAAGTGTGGAGCTCAGCGCCCCTGACAGGTTGTTGGCCTGTGTGTTCACGGCAAAGAGGATCATGGCCACCAGGACTAAGGTCACTGGAGGGGAAAAGAGAAGGACATAGGGGTCTGAGTACTCGCTTAATTTTTTCAGCTTCAGGGGAAAGTAAGGAAGCATTCATTCAGAATCCATGCCACAGCCACCCTGCTGCAGAGATCACACCCAGGAGCTCAGCCAGGACCACTCTCACACCAGGCCCTGCCCAGCCTTTCTACTGACTGGAGAACCTAGATCCAATTAACAAGCCTCTGAAAAAGGCTGGGTGAAGGAACGTCCCTAAGGCTCTATTCACCCACCAACACTCCCTTCCCAGGCCAGCATTCTCCTGGGTGTGTCATGTCTCTCATTGCAAGGTAAGCTCCAGGAGGGCAGGACTGTCTCCACCCTAGCACTCCACTCTTAGCTCAAAAGCTTTTAATGCATTCATTCATTCATTCATTCATTCATTCAGAGTGCTGAGTGGAAAGAGAAAGAATGGAATTGTATTAGCTTGGCTACTCTGATTAACTCACATTTATCAACCAATCGACTGAGCATTGATTAGCTTAGTCTCTGTGCTAGGTACTACGGAGGCAAAGGCAGAAGTGAGACAGCCGAGCTCTCGAGAAGCAGATCCAGGAATCAGGAGGAAGAGGAGGAGGATGATGATGATGAGTGTGTGTGTGAAAAGAGGAGGGAGCGGATTCTAGGCATGAGGTACAACCTGTGCAAAACTAGTAGGTGGGCAATAGTGCGGGAGGAATAAGCAATAAGGCCCTGGCTACACCACTGAGTCCCAGAAGGGGAGTGCCGTATAATACGGTCAGCCAGGTACAGCCAGGTAGTCTGCTACTAAGTCAGGAAAGACGTTAAACGAAAAACAAATTTTTGTTTGCTCCTAGAGGTAACAAGGAGCTCCTGTTTCTACAGGAAGGCCTTTCTCTTCCCCACTGTCTCTCAGTATGTTTGGTTTGTTTGTTTTTGTTTACAAAATGAGCTCAATCAAAGGCTTTTCTTCTTGCAACGCAGACGTTTATGAAGATCTCTTCCCCTTAGATCGAATCCTCCCTAGTAACAAGAAACATGGTGGAACAAAAGTACAGTGGCCTCATCTGCAAATGGATGGACGTTGACATCCTGCCCAAGCTGTCCCTGGCATCCAGGCCTGGCAAGGGACGAGCGTCATTCTCTAGGGCCATGCCTGATGTTCCAGGTGCTCAGGATTGGGCTTCCTTTTCAGAGTCACCTTTTCTCTTATATTCTTTGCATTTTGACCCTGCTTATCTCATTTTGCATCAGTGCATGCAAATCTTCTCTGTTAAGTGACTTGCCCAGAGTCACACAGCTAGTGAGTGTTATGTGTCGAGGCCAGATTTGAACTCAGGTTCTCCTGACTCCAGGGCTGTGCTCTGTCCACTGTGCCACCTAGCTGCCCCTGTACAAGATAATATTACATTACCCTGACACACCACAGATTTTTCATCTCTCCTTCAATGATGGCCCCACCCACTTTGCTTCTTGGTCTTTGCTACTGAAAAACAAAAAGTGCTTCATTTCTTTCTCCCTTTGACCCTGCTGAAATAGATACCCAGCAACAGAATCCATTGATTGAAACATACAAAAAGTTTGATCACTTTTCTTGAAAAAATTATGGATTGATAACTGGAATAGTAGGGACAACTCACACCTCTGCCAGCAGAGTGTCCATCTCCCCACAGACCCTCCACAGACTAATTCCATTTTTTGTCAGTCTTGACTTCTTGCAAAGTATCCAAACAAACTTATGAGTTATTTTAATTTGTATTTTTCTTATTATTGGCGATTTGGAGCATCTTTCAAATGCTTCTTATAGTTTGCAATTTTTAAAAAAACCTGTTTATATTACTTTGATCAATGCAATAACCATCAGATGACCTTAACCTCTCTGTGCCTCAGGGAAATCTCTAAGACCTTAATAAGGTACAGAGCACTTTTTCATGGAGAGGCATCCTCAGTCTACTGAAATAGTGGCCTACTCTACTCCCACCACCCCCCAAAAAATACTTTAAAAATGCAGCTCATCTCCAGAGCCTACACACATGCATTTAAAGGTAACAGATTTCGCCCAATGACCTTTATTGATCACTTGGACTGCGCAGCCTTAGAGGTCACTATGATCCAGATCCTGGGATTCTGGAACTTGACTGGAGCAGATGTTCAGGACAACGGGCACCTAGAGGCTTTCTCCAAATGACTTCTCCAAATGACTCCTCATTAGACGGAGTTAGTGTATGGCTGACAATACCCTATGATGCCACAATCAGGCTTTCAATGACATGGTTTGCTTTCTTAATCATTTGCCCTTTGAAAAAAAACCCTTTCTTCTGACACTCATTAAGAGGAATCCAAACCTTAATTATCCTTCATTATGCCCCTGTGATTTTTTTTTTGTAAAGGTTGAGTCACAGAAAGGTAAAAGGCACACAGGTTTAAAAAAAAAAAACCTTTAAAAAAAAAATCCTCTGCACCTGAGTCTCTGCTTTGAACTCACGAGTGCCAGAAGGAAGGCCCAAACCCTGCCTGTCTCCCAGCTGCCAGAGTGAAATGTGGCCCAGTGGCTCAGACTTCTGTCTGGTCCCAGGAGCAGTGGGATTGTGTGACCTGGCCTAGGCTTTCTGTCAGCCTTGGATCGCAGCCTACCATCTGCCCCACTCTTCTGCCTAAGGGACATCTTCAGTCACAATATCAAAGCCTGAAACTTAGAGTGACATGACCCATTTAGATCCATGGAGAACTTTACACCTGTGATCTCATTTAACTCTCTTACCAACCCTATGAGTTAGGAGCTATTTATTGTACCTATTGTACAGGTGAGGAGACTGAGGCTCATAGTGGTTTGAATGATTTGTCTGTAGTAACACAGCAAGTTATATGTCAGAGGTGGGATTTGAACCCAGGTCTTCCTCAGTCCTCTATCCACATCACATGCCCTCTTCCCCTCTGGCTTCCGGTCCATCCATCATCCCTCTTCTGTCTAACTCAGAGAAACAAGCACAAGATGAAGAGCTCAGTGCCTGGCACACAGTAGGGGCTTACTAGTTGCTTCATCTGCTCTATCAAGGCTTTGTACACAAGATCGTTTTGGGACTGGAAGGCCCCAGGACTAGGATTCCTCTGTAAGTTCAATTAATAACATCATTGAGAGCTTACTCTGGGTCCAATGCTGTCCCTGCCCTCGAGGGGCTTCCATTCTACTGAGACAAGAGAGTGATGACAGGGACAGATATTTTGGTCTGGGAAGTCACCCTGCTGGATGGCAGAGCCATAAGGGAGGTGATTGACACTTGCTTCCCTCCGATAGCAGGGGTAGGGGGATGGAGGAGGAGTGTTTATTTGATAAGAATTCCCAGAGTTCTAGGAGACACAAAGCAATGGAGAGGGGTGTCGTGAAAGTCGAAATATGCCTGGCAAATGGCAAGAAGGTGGCCCCAGTGGCAGGCTGGATGGGGGACAGCACTATGCCATACCCCTCACCAAAGCAAACAGCTCAGACCTTTGCTTCTAAAACGGGGTGCATCAAACTCCCCAGGGCCTGGTCTTTGGAAGCTTGGGGACCATCAACCCTTCTCTAAAAGACTTGGGGGTAAATAAATTAATAAAAAAAAAATTTAAAAGACTGGGGGGAGAGGCAGGGAAGGGGCCAAGAAGTGATGCCAAAAGGAAAACTTAGGGGACAAGGGATAAGAAAGCAAATTTTGTGGTGATGACAATGATGACAATGAATTATATTATAATTATGTGACAATTACAATAGCACACACTTCCATTGTGCTTTAGGTTGGCAAATTCCTGTGCATGTTATCTCTACAGAGGTTATGGGGGCAGGTAGAGGGCTTCACAGTACACAGAGCCCTGGGACTGGAGCCAAGAAGATCTGAGTTCAAATCCAGCCTCAGACACTGTGTGTCCTTGGCTAATTATTTAATCTCTGTTTCCTCAGCTATAAAAGGGGAATGATAATAGCACCTGCCTCTCAATTATGTCTATTTCTCCATTGTTTGAACCCTGAGCTAGGTTGACTATAGCTATAAGGATGCAGTGGGGGGAGGGGAAGAGAGAGAGATGGATCTGATATTCAGAGACAAAGAGAGACAGAGACAGACAGGTATAAAGAGACAGAGGAGAAGAGACAGAGGCACCTTACACGGAGTGCAATTTCTTCACTTACTGCTTAGTCCGTTCCAAAAAGAAATGCTAGTGGGGCCGAGCCATGTCTGGTAGGGATTGCTGACGCTGTTGAAGAATGTTAACCCAGAACTCAGCAGGGTTGCAAGCAAAACAAAGAACAGAAGGACGATGACCAATAAGTGGAGAGTTTTCTGAGAGGAGTTTGACAGTATCGATAAAACTGAAAAACAAAATGGCAGACACACATTTAGATGGCAACAACCTTGTACTCAAGTGTTGGTTGGATGGTTGGTTTTTTCCCAATGGAACTTTAAAGTCATTCAATGCAACTCCCTCATTTTACAGAGGAGGAAACTGAGGCCCAGAAGGGCAGTGAATTACCCCAATGTAAGACCTTCATGTTACAGAAAAGGAAATCTTAGAGGCCAAGACACCAACCCCAAATCACACCAGTCATGAATCAGACCCACCACTGGATCCAGCAGAGACACAACATTGAGAAATAGATTCTACAGGCAAAACGGCACCCACATGAATCAAGACCTGTGCCCCAGTCATTCTGTGCAGTCCTGGGTACATGTACTGCACAAGCTTTGCCCTCAATAAGCTTATAACCTAATGGAAGGAAAGAGGCAGGCATAAATAACCAGACGAAGGAAGAGAGGGAAGGGGATAGAATTGATCTGGCATCTACTGTGTGCCAAGCACTGGGCTCAGAACTTCACAAAGACGGCCTCTTTTTCTCCTCCCAATAGCTCTGAGAGGAGGCGCTGTTATTATCCCTTTTCTACCTCTGACACTTTCTTGCTGTGTGAGGATGGGCCCTGAACCTCAGTGTCCTCAGCTAGAAAACAGGGCTTAAAGATCTTCATACATTCCAAGGCTTGTTGGGAAAACCCCACAGGACCTTGAGTTATTGTTAAAGGAAGTTACCCTCTGGTCAAGGACCTGTTGCTTAAAAAGACTTTGGATTTCTGGTCCCCTTCTTCAGACTTAAGAATGAAGGGCCCCTAGCCAGAAATGGAGCCCACGTAAAGGGCTGGTCAGAAGCGTCCTGCCCTGGAATCTATCACCACTCTCCACAGCCTTTAAAGGGAAAAGAGTGAAGGGAGAGAAGATGCCTATATACATTTATCAGCTTTGAGTCCACAGGGAATCGCTATCATGTCGAAAGAAGGGCAGTAGAGACATTTAGAATGTCACAGGAGATCAAATTCAGAACTAGAAGTAAAAGCCAGGTCCACAGGGATGTACACACCATTCACAAAATATAGCAGCAAGGGAACAGCAGCAACAGTTGTTAATCTAATAATGACTATATATAATATATAACTATATATAGTATAATAATGTTAGCATAATAATAACTAGGATTTGTATAGTGCTTCAAGGGTTACAAAGCCCCTTACAAATACTGTCTCCTGTGATCCTCACAGCAACAACCCCGTGAGGGAGGTGTTTATTCCCATTTTACAGTTGAGGAAACTGAGGCAGAGGCAAACAGAAGTGACTTGCCAAGGGTCACACAGCCAGGGAATGTCTGAGGCTGGATCCCAACTGAAGTATCTAGTGCTCCTCTTCATTAGAGCCCAGCAAGCAAAGGTCAGGAGGCCGCTGATGGACTGCAGGTGGCATTCCTGACAGGAACCGGTCAGACACAATGGCCTTTGAGGTCCCTAATTCTTTTTTTTTCTAGGCAATGGGGTTAAGTGACTTGCCCAGGTCACACAGCTAGCAATTGTGATGTGTCTGAGGGCGGATTTGAACTCAGGGCCTTCTGAATTCCAGGGCCGGTGCTGTATCCACTGCGCCACCTAGCCGCCCCGAGGTCCCTAATTCTCTGAGAGAGAGAGAGAGGGCCTTCCACCTGGGAGAGGGCCAAGGCCAGTTTTCTGTGGGGGACGCCACCTTCAAGAGTCCACTCTAGGCTCAGGATTAAGAAGGCGCAAAGGTGCAGAAACAAGGGCCGGAGGGATCAGGACTGGGGACAGAGAATCCCCGCACCTGGCCCCTGCGCCGCTTCTATCAGCCCGACCCTCCCGCCCAGCCTCCCTTTACAAGGTAAGACTGATGCAGTCCCAAGGCGTGTGTCACGAATGCCCAACAACACGGCCAGACCCTACTTCGGCATTTTGGCCAAAGGCCAGCTGCGTTGAGTTTCTGCTGCTGGGATTCAACACTTGGGAACCCGCTGCAGGTGAAGATGTTCCGGGAAACCCACAACCAAATAGTCCAAACCCAGTCTTGGACAAGGGGATCAGAGCTGATTAAAGATGTCAGACAGAGCCTGCAGATGGACGCGCCTGAGGCCCTCTGCTTCAGAGCTTCCCTGAGAAGGGCGTCCTCCCGCACCTGAGGCAGCTCTCTCCATTCTGGGACAGCCCCCCAACCAACCTCCGTCCGCCTGTTTGCAGCTTGCACCACTGGGTCCAGGCAGAGCCAGACATCCCTCCTCCACTGACAGCCTTTCAAATACTTAGAGACGGCTCTCACGTGGCCCCGGAGCCTCCTTTTCTCCGGGCTAACCCCCCTCCCGCCCAGTTCCTCTTCCAACCAATCCAAAATGATAGGAGAGGAATGATGGACAGCCCAACTGCTGGCCGTTGGTATACACAAGAGACTAAAAAATGCAAGTGATGCCTCAGCGGTGCTCCAGGGCCGAAGCTCAGCCGAGGATTGCTGCGAGCCTCGGCCATTAATCACTGGGGCTGAGGGAGTGCGGATGGGTTGAGCCCTGCTTGTATCCATCAAAGCACTGAGCCTCCTGGCTGACAGCAGTGTAATCATTGAGACTCCCTGGGGATGGGCGCTTCCATCAGAAGGCTGTGGCTTTTCCCCGTTCAGCTCTGGTCTTGCCTGGTTCACCCTGAAGGACAAGGCGCCGTCCTAGCTTTGTGGAGCCTGGAGTAAGGTCCCCTCTCCTCCCCCGCGTGTGTCACAAATCAGCCGGAGGCCGCCCTCCTGGACTAGGACGCGTGGAGTGGATGGAGATAGGCAACACAAGCGGGCACATCTTCCTCATCACGTGAAAGAAAATGAAAGGTTTGTGGGCACCCAGGCTTCTCCTTTATCAAAGGAAGGGCACCCGGGGCCGACGCTTTCTCTGGCCCGATGTCCTTCCCCCCCTGGCTAACAGAGATCGGCAATGGAATAGGCCGGTACTAAGATGCCCACAGGACATGGCCTGGCATAGGGGAGTGACAGAGGGGCCATCCTGGGAGTCAGGAGCCCTGGGCTGCAGTCCTGTGGCTGTGGGACCCTAGGCAAATCATAGAACTTCCCAGGGGCCCCAGGCAATAACTTAGGGCAGAGGGGCTATCTGCATCAGAGGAGGGTTTCCAGAAAAAGACTTCCTTTTCTGTACCTGTACCAATGAAATCACAGGTCTGGATGAGAAAAAGAAGAAAAAGCAAACCGAAAAACCAGACAAATAAATAAAAGCAGCCTAATAATTCTTGAGCCAAGAAGTTTAACATGGGTGCTAATACTGGATTTGGAGTCAAAGGACCCAGAAGGACCACCTGGTGGGGCTGGGGAGGGACACGACAGGTATATTCTAGTACCTGAGGAACCAGCATGTGTCATCCTGAGAAACCACCTTGTTTCCCTGGCTCTCAGTTTCCCCTTTTTCAAATTAAGATATAACCTTTGCTCTATGGTCCTCACAGGATGGTGGCAAGAAAAGAGCTTTGTCACCTTGAAAGCTCAAAGCCAGTATGAGTTCTTGCACCCTGCTATGGTTAGGTGAAAGAATCTTAGGATAGTGGGAAGAGTGCTGGAGTCACTGGGTCTGGGTTTGAATCTCATCTTTTCTGCTTACTGACTGTAGGACTCTAGGCATGGTCCTGCTCAGGGGCAGCTAGGCAGCTCAGTGGATAGAGAACAGGGCCTGGAAGCAGGAACACACCTTCCTGAGTTCAAATCCAGCCTCAGACACTTACTAACTGTGTGACCCTGTGTAAGTCACTTGCCCCTGTCTGCCTCAGTTTCCTCATCTGTAAAATGACCTGGAGAAGGAAATGGCAACCCACTCCAGTATCTTTGCCAAAAAAACCTCAAATGGCTTCAGTAAGAGTCAGACATGACTAAAAACAATTGATCAACATGATCTTTCCTCCCCCCACCCCTGCCAGGGGAGGTTGGACAAGATCATTCCTGGGTCCTTTTCAGCTCCAAACCCAGGATTTATTAGGACAAGATCTATCTGCCATTTTTGGCTGCTCTCTCTAGCTGCTGCCCTAAAGATTTTGTACATATCTTATATGTTTCTATCTGTAAACACATTGCCTCTTTCCAGTAGAATGTAAGTTGCTGGAGGGCAGGGCTGTCTCAGTTTTGTCTTTGTATTGCCAGCACCCGGCACAGTGCCAGATACAGATAAAATAATGTTGGATTGAATTGATGGAACATGAAAGCTCAACATAAATTGGTTCTGGAAGTCAGCTAGGTGACACTAGCTGTGTGACCCTGGGCAAGTCACTTAACCCCAATTGCCTCATCAAAAAGCAAAAACAAAACAAAACAAAACAAAAACAAAAGACTGATCACCAGAAGCACTCAACAGCTGCCAATAAAATCAGGAAATCTAATTCCATTTTTTTCTTTAAGAGGACACACATTTGTGTAGGCAGTCCTTGGCACTGCCCATCATTGGGGTGGCAAGTACGTGATTTGGAGGTGGGTTCTATAGAGTCTGCTCTGACCCTCTCTGAGTCTGTTTCCTCCTCAGTAGAATGAGGATCATGCCACGTGTAGTGAGAGGTATGCAAATATATTTAATAACCAGCTTGGGGGAGGGGGGGAATGTGCCCATGACACATCTTTAAGCTTTCTTGTTGCTGTTGTCAATCAGTTGTTTCAGTGGTGTCTTGCTCTCCATGACCCCATTTGGGGTTTTCTTGGCAGAGATACTAAAGTGGTTTGCCATTTCCTTCTCCAGCTCATTTTACTGATGGGGAAACTGAGGTAAACAGGGTCACAAAGCTAGTAAGTGTTTGAGGCTGGATTTAAACTCAGGTCTCCCCTACACTCTATCCACTGCACCACCTCAATGCCCTATGTAGGTTTCTGAGGCTGGGCTTCAGTATCAGAGAATCCATTGCATGTGAAGATGTCCTGGGAAACCTATAATCTGCATTATCAACATTCTTTCCATCACTTTTTTCATTCCAGACAACCAACAAAACAACAAATCATTCCCTGATTTGTAGTTTGCCCATT